TACGGTCATTTGTTTTAACGTTACACCAAAAACCAAAATCGATTTTCTCTAAAACAGATTTTGCGTAAAAATTCCTGTTTTTCCTTAATTTTTCTTTTGTTTTTCCCGGCGCTTTTGAAAACTACTGGGAAATTTTATAAATTTTTAACTACAAATTTTAAGTACAATTTTAAATTTTGATCTCCCCAATGCACCAACGACATTCACTTTCCAGTCGAACAAGATACTGAAGTCGAAAATCGAAGCATTATTTCGACTACTTATCGTGTACACAGACACAAAAAAAAAATAAAAATAAAAACACACATCATTGTAAAATCAATACATTCATCGTTTCACTCAAAATCTAAAAAACTAATAAAATTGGAAACTGAAAATGTCCCTAAACAGTTCAATATAAATCAAAATATTTTGAAAATGTTATCGTGTATAGTAAATGCAAAATAAAACACCACTGAAAATTTCATGTATCTACGGTCATTTGTTTTAAAGTAACACCAAAAACCAAAATCGATTTTTGGAAAACCGATTTTGCGTAAAAATTCCTGTTTTTCCTTAATTTTTCTTTTGTTTTTGCCGGCACTTTTGAAAACTACTGGAAATTTAAATTTTGACCTCCCCAATGCACCAACGATATTCACTTTCCAATCGAACAAGATACTGAAGTTGAAAATCGAAGCATTATTTCGACTACTTATCGTGTACACAGACACAAAAAAAATAAAAAATAAAAAAAAAACACACATCATTGTAAAATCAATACATTCATCGTTTCACTCAGAATCTAAAAACTATTGTATCATTTATATTACAAATAATAATAGTTTAACTTAACCGGCTATCGTATAATAATTAATAACAATAGAAATATAATATAAAATATTCTAGGCTGACAAACCATCTCCGTTCAGTATCGTTTTTCGTATGCAATGATATTATATCATTGAATTCAAATTTAACACCATCCATAAAACTTTTATCACCCACTTGTAACCTATTGTACTGCAGAGTGACACCCACTTACCCGCTTTTTTTTAAATTCATTTTTTACTATAAATTTGCAAATTTTTGTGATTTTGAAGAATTTTGTCAACATTAACTGTAAAGTTTAAATGTTTATCGCGTCCATGTGTCATTAATATTTTTAGATTGCTATTATATAAACGTATAAGGAACCTAATATTCATTTTTCAAGCTTTTTGACCCAGTGAAAAATTTCTAATCGATTATTATTGGGATAAACTAAAAAAAATTGAAAATTTCAAACGTCTTTACATTTCTTAAAAAGAGACTAAATATTTTTTAAATGATATCTTCTACAGAAAATGATAAAATAAACGTTTGGTGAAAATTTCAAGTATGCGCTGTTATTCGTTTTTGAATTACGACAAAATATAAAAATTGATTTACGGGTGACATGTGAATATCAAATACTTCTGTGTAGTACAATTTTGAACTTAAACGTTCATACATCATTAATGTGACTTTTTGGTAAATTTGTATTTTGTTTTAGGTAGAACTAAATAAAAACTTATAAGGAATCTTGTATTATAGGTTTTCAGATCTAAGATTAAAAAAAAAAGAAATATTGAAAATTTCAAGTATCTATAAGGTTATTTGTTATTGAGTTACGGCGTAACTATAGGTACTACTTTTACTACAGAAGTAGAAAATTGAAACATTTTTACCGCTCCAATAAGTGAGGATAGACAAAGAAAACACACCATTGTAAAATCGCTCCTCTCATAATCTAAATTTAAAAGTTGAAAATGTTTAAATTTATATTATTACATAATATAGGTAGGTATAGCTTAAAAATATATTAATATCATTTTCTGGTAGAAAATATGATGTAATTGGTACTTAGGTGTAAATGGGGTGTCAATAAAGAAAAAAATTCCCAGTAATTTTTAAAGTAACCAAAAAAAATTAAATAAATACCGTAATTTTTTACGCAAATCCAGTATATAGGTATTCGACAAAATCGTTTTTGTTTGTATGATGTAACATAAAAACAAAAAACCTTAGATACTTGAAATTTTTACCAAATGTTTATATTTATATATATTATCATTTATCATCATTACTTACACATGATATAATTTTCTGAGTATTTTGATGGTAGCATTTATCATTTAAACGTCAGCAAGCTTATCAACGCCTAGCAGTGATGTTCCCTATTTTAAAGAGGATTACAGGAATCTACCTTAGAAAAAAAATATTCCTTTCTTATTTACAAGCAAATTCTGCGCCCTTTGCTAACTTACGCTTGTCCCATCTCAGGCAAATGCGCTCTTACTCATTTAAGTAAACTTCAAATATTTCAGAACAAGATCTTAAAAACAATAACAAATGTTCCATATTTTGTAAGAAACCAAAATATTCACAAAGATCTTAAAATTTCATATATCCAAGACCACATCATACATTTGGCCGATAGCTTTTTCAAGTCTATTCAGAAGTCAACAGGATTAATGCACTACCAAGTATCAACTCAATATAATAGGACCACCGCACCAACATCGCCTTAGACTTGGACGTTTTCGCGACTTAATTGTTTAAATAACGCTTAACATTAAGCCACCATAATAACTTTGCATTAATTATAATCAAGGTAAATAGCCAACAAATATAAGTAAAAAAATGTAAAACTATTTTGTAATTATCCGTAGATGTAGAAGCCGCATAGGCTAGGAATATTATTTCTTAACAAATAATAAAAAAAATCTAAATATTTTGAGATGTTTGAAAGATATTTTTTTTCTATAATTGCTGTTATAAAAAATTGAATTTGGTCAAGAGCTTGAACATTTTTAATATGAGACGTAATCTATCCCGTTCCATAATTTACCCGATCGGATTTATGATCTTATTTCTTGTATTATTACAAAAATGTGATTCATTGAATTTAGGTCTGTCGTGCGGTGTGCATAAAATAATTGATTTTGTTAGGATTGTTCTTATATTTATATCAATTGTTTTATCCCCCCCCCCCCCCCCTATAAACAAATCAAGTGTACATTTTTAAGTTAGGTACTTATTTATTTTGCGTATAGGTACTGTTGATAGTATAAATTATAATCGTCGCCATCGATTTCATCAGAAGCTGTCGATCGTGATTGTATCCGTCTCATTTAATGTCTATACATTCCTATAGGAATATATTTATTTGTATCCTGCAATACTTTAAAAACACAAGACGATGGAATATATTATTTTAATGTTTAATATTGTCCTTCTTTCGCCGTGTTTGAGTATTTCACGTAATCACTTAATTGCGTCTAAAGAGTACTATTAATATGATTCAATGAAAAAAATTAGAAAAAAATTAGTAGATGAGGTGGGATTTAATTCTCATCTGTGGCTTCAGGGGTTACTCTGGTAGAATATTTGACAGAAGTGCACAACAAGAAGTGCCAACAAGTAAAAATTACTTCAAATCACTTAGTTTATAGGTCTATGCTATAAAGTATACATATTATACTCAATTACTCACTTATAATTATACTCACTTTGTGTCGGGTTTCACTAAAAAAATATGGACGGCTAAAGTCTTCATCTAGTCGTTATTATCACTGGTTTGTGATATAAATAGTAAAATTTAGTTCAAATTATTTAATAAAAATATACAACATTAATAAAAGCATTTTAATTTTTAAAATAAATGAATAATTTATTTTTTTGTTTAATTTTTCTTCTTTTAAATTAACAAGCAAATAATATGTATGCAAATAACCATGGCTTTTATTTATTTATAATTATAATGTATAGATGTGTAGGTATGTACCGATAAAGTGTTAAAAATTTGACATCCTCAATTTTACAACTTATAATTACTATTGTTTTGGTAATATGTCATAAGTGGGCGTCTGTGTTTGAAATCCATCATATAGATATAAAAAAAATTTGGCACTTTATCTTGTGTGTTTTGCCAAATATTTTTATTCTAAAATTGTTTATTAGAAAACCATGTACCATGGTATACGCTAAACCATGTATACGCCTTTGTATTAGGATGAGAACACGATAATGAGTATCTTATCTGTTAAAATATATCTAAGATAATAGTGACAATTGTGTGTCGTATATATTTTGTCACTTTTTATATGGGTATACTCCTACGTTTTTATTTTTATTTGTGTTTTACAAATACAATAATAAATTTATGTATTTATCTTTTTCAGGTGTGCTGTGCGTTACTCAAATTTTATATCAATATATACATATTTTAAATTTTACTTGATTATTGTTATTTAAAAATATGCTCGGTTCGTATGGTTCTATTTATATTTGTGTTTTGATTTATTCTACCTATAATTTTGAAAGCTTATAGTTTTTCGTGATTTATTTTCAATAATTTTACAACCGTTTGTTAATATTATTTAAAATGAGTGAAAATTCAGAAAATAAGGAAATGAAGACCTCTGGTTTACGACCACCAACGAAAATTCCCTCAATGGGAGTGTCGAGGTTACCCAGCTCATCTTCCATCAAACTTGGTGAGTCAGTTTTCACGTTAAATAATATTAATGTGAAAATATTACATTTATGACTAAAAAAATAAAAAAATATTTGGTTCTTTAACTGAAAAAAATTATTTGTTGGTATTTATTTATACCTAACACAATCAAAGTAAAATTAGCTTATTAACGAAATTGCAGTTATTGCACTACTGTGTTTACTGTATACGGGTAACGGGTTGTTCGGGATATAATATAATATATAGGTTTTATAATTATTACAGGATGTGTTGAAATATATAGTGTAATAATATATTGAATTCGGATGTACCATGTACGTATAAACACATACCAATAACTTGGAAGGGGGGCCACTCCTGCAACACCTCCTTCACAGAGAAAAAAAGTTCGTAGGCGACCTACTATGCACCTGTGCTTACAAGGTTACGGTCATCATTAGTTGTTGTTCTCTAGTCAGGTGTTGTTTGTAAATATTCGGAGAGTTCAGTTCAGTGTACCTATCTACCTATATTATATGAGATGCCTAATCCTGTATTCGAGGAGACAATTATACCAAGACATTTGGATTTATTCTGCCGAGCAGATGGTAGAATTATAATATATTTTAATATAAATTGATGAATTTAAAAAAACAATACTCAATAAATAGACGGTACATTATTTGAGAGGTATTAAATTTCAAAAATGGTGATATTGTTATTTGCCGAAAGTAATATATTATGCTGTATTTATTCTTATATTTTATCTTTTTAAATACATAATTATTTTAGAATTTTAACCAAAAAATGTACTGGTTTAGCCTAATATATTTAAGTATTTAAAATGTATATTGACTCGTATGTAGTAACAACTAAATACTAATAATATAAATAGATTTAACTAACAATTTATCATGATATTATTAATATATTACGGGTGTCCTACAAAACGTATTATAAGAACTATAATAATTGAATAACAAAAATAATAATTATTAATTTATTGTACCTAATATGTAATTGAATATATAACATTTATTTGTTTATAGTTTTAACTTATAAGAAATTTTACGATAACGTACGTTTTAAACCTTGTACCAATGCGAATGCGATTGGGTAAACTGAATAAAAATAATGTATCGAAATGTCGTAAAAACACTTAACTTTAATTTTGAATTTTATTAAAATGTTAACATACTCGTATATATTTTAATATAGCGAATCGTTTTGTGCAATTTGTATAGGTGTAATATAACAATATCATAAATATGATAAATATAATGACAATATATATACTATGACAATATGATAAATCAAATTTGTCTGTTTTAAATTATAATATATTTTAAACATGGCCTGCACTTATAAAAATGATGCCTGTAAAATAAATGAAAACTTATTTAATTAAATATAGATATGAAATATGATGTATGGTACTCAGAAACAGAATAGAAATATATAGAACATGAATTATTCGCAACCCTTAGGATAAAAATATTCATACAAACTACAAAGTCGTACTATAATTTTTATGTTTATATCCTGTTATTTGAGTAAACACACGGCGAACATAGAACATCGTCCCACACTAGGCTACAGTCGTGCATACTAGTTTAAGTACGCCTACATTTGTTTCATTTAGTGGGTGATTTTAAACTTATGACCTACTTGTCTTGTATTAATAAATTTTAATTTGAAACACTATAATCAGCGAGAAAATATTGTTCAACATTTTTATACTTTAGGCATAAATATTTCTAACTTCGATAGTAAGTAAGGATTGTTCAGTTTGATCTTGATCATTTAATTTTCACTTTCGTACCCACCTTTAACTATAATCCCACCATCCTATTGTCATTATTGATTATGATCAATCTGTGAATAATAACTATTTAATGTCATGTAATTTCAGATGGAGTAAGCTCTATTGCAACCAGACTAGACGGGGGTTCAAGTGTGAAAAAAACTGCAGGTAATAATAATTTTTGAAAGTGTAAATCTTAAAATAAATAATAATCTATAATATAAATCACGTTTGCAGTTTCAAAAGTTAATTATTACATTTTTTCAATTGTTGTATTTTTTAACTTAAAACAATTAAAATTAAAATATCAAAGTACAATTATCTAGATTATTATTAGTAGGTAATTGTATGAATAATTTGGGTCATTCATTAGTCATTATGTCATTACTTATTAATTATTATTTATTAAAATATTATGGTTTATTATAAATAGTTTGGTATCAGTGGTGCTTGATTATCTCGTAGTTTTTAGTATTTAACTATTTAATTATTTAGAGTTTATTTTTCTTTCCTCAACCAAATTATCTGTTTCTGTCTTTATTTATATTGTATATTTATTAGCTTATTTAAATTTATCTAATAACATTTTTACCTTAATACAATAGAGTATAGGCTTGCGCTGATTTCATTGGCAAAACAAAAATAAAAATTGCCCAAAAATAATTGGTCTTTTCTCTCTAAAAGAAAAAAAAAGTACAGTAATAAAATCACAAATTATATTTTTACCTAAACATAAAATTTGTTTTGTTACTTGCAAAAAAAAAATTATTACTATAGCTTAAGTACTCTTTTTAACTGCAGCTAAGCATTTTGAACTCGTCTATAACATCCACAATATCTATTTCCTATTCATTTTTTGTAAATTATATTTCAAATTTATATGCACGCATGTATGATGAATGATACATTGGATACTCTAAGGATTTTTATATTTTTGGATCTTTACGACCTTACGCATATATAATAACAATATTATAATTTATAACTAACAATTGTATATTATTGCTTATAATATTTGCATTCTGCATGTTGCATTTTGTTTTCTGTTTGTAATTTATTAGACATGGCGTATGTTAGCAAACACAATGATTTTAATAAAAAGCCGTCAGATGAACGCAAATCATCAAGTAAGTAGCAGCATTTTATTATTTTTGTGTATGCACTGTAAGTAGTTTAGTTTTTTCATGTTGCTTTTATATTAGGCGGTTCAGATTCTTTCATGGGAGATGCACGTAGACTAAGTGAAGCTGGTGTAAGACGTAGTTCAGGTTTGTTTTATGATCTTTATTTTAAACACATTATCATATTGTATGCGTTCATTTAAATAATCATCACTGCATTCTGGTATACACGCGGCGTACCGGCCACAGTAATAATATGTATCTACTTATTCGCGTAATTATATATGGAAAAATAACTTAGATAGTCTTATTATTTTCTAGGAAACAGTGTTGTTCTCACAGAAGATACGGACAAATTTATTATCGGCAATCGAATTTGGGTGGGTGGAACTAAACCCGGGCAAATTGCATACATAGGCGAAACTAATTTTGGAAACGGGGATTGGGCTGGTGTAGTACTCGATGAACCAATTGGTAATTTGGTACCTAATACATAAGTTATGATGTCGAGTTTTATAATATATTTTATTTTAGGTAAAAATGATGGGTCCGTGAGTGGAACTAGATATTTTCAATGTGGACCTAAGAGAGGCATATTTGCTCGTCTGACTAATCTCACTTCTACTCCTTTGAGTTCTGTTGAAGACTCAATGGTTCAAAGTTCATTTGCCGCAACTAAACCATTAGGGTTTTCAACTCCTATGCCTAAACGACAAGGTTCAACTGTGACAGCCCCTAAAACTGCCGCAAAAAGTAAGTGAAAATAAGTGTGATTCAGAAGTTGTATGGGTCACTGAGTGGGTACCTATATTTAAATGAAAAATCAACGGTAAATTACTACGTTTGAATCAGAAAGAAAAAGTTCAAAAGCAGAGCTTGGATCATAATTTATTAATATACTTGTTAAAATTTTGTTTAAAAAATACTGTCGCTTTTTTAGTAGAAAAATGCTCCGATCAAAAACTACAAATGAGGTTTCTGCACTTTCTGGTAGGAAACTATAGACGAAATGTACACTGTACGGAGGGAGGGGTAAAATGTACACATTTCCAATTTCTTTTCAAAATAATGAGGAAAAACCATTGAGGCTTTATATTTTCAAAAAATGTTTAAATATTCATTGTAAATAAAGTTATAATGACATTTTCGAAATATTCTTAACTATTTAGAAACATTTGAAATGTTTGCTCTATCTAAACATTTTATTAGACTTGTATGCTTTATCTGCGAGTCAAAAAAATGTAATACAAGGTAACAAAAAGTTAGACCGTTTCCACTCATAATCGTTTTCCAGCATATTCTATGATTTATCATTAAATTCGTGCAGTCGCGATGTTCGATGTGTCAAATGTGGCGGAAACCACCTAACAATCAAGTGCACCAAAGACCGAAATAGCCCTGCTAAATGCGCCCTATGCACCTTAAACCACACCGCGAACTTCAAAGGATGCCGAGCATTCGAGTCAACATTTAAAAAATCTACTTCAAAGATTCAACCAGTCAAAGATCCAGACCCTCACTCATAGGCGCAATTTCAACTTTTGACTTGGGGGGGGGGAGGGCTGAATATATTAAAGGCAAGCAGACCATTGCAATATAGCATTTTAAAATTGTATGTCCTTGGTTTTTTATGTGGGGGGGCTTAGCCCCCCACAATTTGGACCTATGCCCTCAATCTCAACCCAGAACCAAAACCAAATCATATGCAGAAGCTACCAACAACCAAAGTATAATCACAGAACAAATATCAAATACCTTTTCAAAACTCATATAGTCATATCTTATTATCTTAAGCTCTTTAATTAGTCCATTAATTTCCCTCCTTACCTCAGTTTTAAACACATTAATAGCTAAAGGCATTATCTCTCCATAATATTATCCCTGTACCTACATTATCTTATCTTTTCCTCAGACCTATCCTCATTAATTTTATTTTTAACTTTAATTGTATCTATTATATTCAATCATGTCTACCACTATGAAAAACTATTTGAAAATGTATAATTTAAGCGATTATAATAAATAATAATACTTAGTGTACTGATACAATAAACATATTAAATAAAAAAAAATTCATTAAATTCAAATTTAATACTTCTACTTCAGCATAGGGTACAGGCGTTCAGCATTAGTTACTTATTTGCCCCTTATTTTTTCTCTGTAAATGTATAGAAATTAAATGTTGATGGTCAGTATTATATATTATAGAATGTATATTTTATTGTAGGTATTAGTCAAACACCAATAGCTAAAAGTAGCAGTGATTTAAAAATTGGCGATCGTGTCATAATCAGCAGTGGACAAGGATCTAAATTAGGAGTTCTAAGGTATCGTGGCGCAACGCAATTTGCACCAGGAGAATGGTGTGGTATCGAATTAGATGATCCTCTTGGAAAAAATAATGGGATTGTGGAAGGAATTAAGTAATTCATTTGTTGATTGAAAATATTTTTAAAAATACTTTAATTATGTTTTGTTTTTAGATATTTTGAATGTGAAGATAAATTTGGCTTATTCACTCCCATTGCTAAGGTTTCCAAATCGCCGATGTCTGCCAGTCGAATGTCGACCAATTGTGCTATTCACAAGGCAAAACGTTCGCCAGGTTCTATGAATGGATCTATGATCAGTGGTATTACATCAACCACCATGTCATCGATACCAACTCGGGTAAGACTTGGAGTTGCCTCTTTAAGTTACAAGGTATTTTGCATGCATTTTAATTGCTTCTAATCTTTATATTATTCTAAGGTGTATCATTGTATTGGACAAAAAAAAATATTTAATACATTTTTTATTAAATATAAATTCATACATTTTTATATGATACAAAGATAAAAAAAAAATGTTCTATTTATTACAGGAAAGTAATTTAAAATTAAATAAAATCAAGTTATTTGGTGAAGGTAAACTATTATATATTTTTAAAAATATATTAAATTATTTATTTCAATAATATTATTAGATTTTACTATTTAAAAAATTAATAAGTATGATATCTTATAATATTATGCATTATGCACTCTGCTTTAAATTTAAAAAAACACATTGATTTTTATTCATACTTTTAAAAATACGTTTGTAGATTTAATTTATCAATGCACAAATAAATATGTTGATACTTTTTGCTTTCTATGCATGCCATACTAAAAAAGTATTTTTTATTGCCCATAATGTATATATTTTTATTTTTTTTTTTATATAATATTAAAACAAAAATGTCCCAATGTGAAAGGTGTTGTCTATCTATAACACACTAATGATAACAAAAATGCTCTTTGCATTATTCATTCTGGTAGAAATGAATTAATAATGAATTTAGCATTACCTATTGGTAATAATTTATTCTACTGTACACTTTAAAAGTCTGAAAGAACTGGTGTAGAGTCTATAAGGCACTCTAACAAATAACTAATATTTAAAATAATGAATGAACCTATTGTAAAACATAAGTTAATTTACCCTTTTTTTTAATGATATTGAATAAAAGTTAGCTTTGACCATTTAAAGAACACCTCCTTAGTGAATAGTGATGGTTGTAATAGGTTATATTTTGTTACCTTTACCTGGTCTTAGTCGCGTTATGGTCAAATTTGCCCCACTTTTCTTACATCTTGAATAAAACATATAAATTTAACATTTAAATCATTGATTTAATTGTAATTGAACCTTTTTATAAATATTATTAAAAATGCTATAATAATGTTTTAAATAAATTTAACAACTAGAGGCTGCCACGGGTTTTTTGAAAACTTTAAGACTTTGTCTTGCGACAAGACTCCATATATTTTTACATTCCTATTTTTTTTTGATTTTTAAATATTAGCCATTTGATGTATAAAAAAGAAGTAACTTTTTAAAATTATATGATATAAGTTGTAAAAATTATATGAAATAATTATTTGTTTTGATAGAATTAATAAAAATGTATGAACCTTTTTTTATTATTGACAAATACAATTTGGTCGATAAGACCCCAATTCAACTAATAACGTAATATACACTGGCGCAACTAACATTGGGTTAGTAATAAAATTAAAATTACAGTGAAAAGTTTACTAGGGCTTGTTTTATATAGAATATTTGATAATAGAAGATACAAATGTTATCCTCCCAAAATGGAACAATTAAACCAACTGTACTAAACTAATAATTATTATAATAGGTACTCCTGTAAGTTATATATTTTTAATTAAATTGAGAGTATAATTATATTATATAAGAATATGGACTAGATATAATTTAATGGTTATTTTACTCAAATATCTAAATGATACATAAGCTTTCAATTATGACTGCCTAGAGTCTCAAATAATTACTATTAGTGTTGAATATAATTTAAAACTGCACTGAAATAATAAAAAGTGCCATTGTTAAATAACTAAGAGGCCATAAATATGAAGCATTTGATAATTTTTATATTTTATTTTATATCATACATTGGTGGAGGAAAATTAACTTTTATTAAATCTAAAAATAAAATAATATCTTTATTAACAGTTAAAACAAATGTTTTTTTAATAATTTTGAACAATACAAACCAGGTAAGTTATGAAAAATTATATTTTGTTTTAAATATAATAATTTTTTTTATAAACAGAAAAAAATATTTATTATTTTGTTGACATTTCTAGTCAGAAGTGAGATTTGTGGAAACCTATCATCCGCAATGGGAATCTGGTTATTATTAATTCAATCATCACTTATTGTATAAACTAAAACATATATTGATTATTGGTACAAACATTAATGCAATGTTTTTGTTTATTTTTAAACACCAAATTCTAAATTATTAACAAATGCACTACAAGATATAATAATTAAATACAATTATTAATATATGTAATCTTAATTTATTGTTTCACATTTTTATTAGACTATTCTAACTTTATATCTAATTATATTGTTTGTTATATTTTTTTGATTCTGTTTGTTACATTTTATTATTTTATAATGTTTTATTTTTCACCAAGTAATGAAAATAATTTTCATTTTGCATATTTTTCATTTATCCTGCCTTGAAATCCTTGTGATTTTTTTTCCATTATGTTGTACTGCATGGTATAATTTTGATCTATTTAATGTGATAATGTATATCTTGTAAAGTTTATTTAATTTTTCAGTCTATAAGCTCTTGAATATATTTTTATTTGATTTCAATGTTAAATACTTCAATCTATATTCCAAAATATTTTATACTTTAACTTTGAATTTTCTAGTTTGAAAAGTGTGTATAATGTTGACTGTTTATGAAGAGCCATTTATTCAAGATAATATGCGGTCTAATTAAAAATATGTTTGGTTGATAGAGCAAAGTAACAATATAAAAGACCTAAGAAGTAGGAATACATTGTATCAACAGTGCTAACTAGGCCCTGCTAACTAATATTTGAAATACAAATATTATTAAAAAACTGAGGGCTAAGCCCCCCTAATTGCACCTATGTGCATCTACAGTATATATAAATAATATACATAATATGTATATAATATATACAATTTATGTACATAATAATAATACATAATAATACTTATGCATAATATGGACTCAAAAATCCCTTTATGTAATTCAAAATTTAAATAAAAAGAAAGATAAAATATTATTGGTATTTACCATTTACTATTTATCCAAAAAAACTTTTTGAAATATTTTTCTTTTACTAAATGTTAGATTATAGTAGTATGTTACTGAGGTATAGTCTGAAATAAAGACTATCACTACGGTAATCAGTAAAGTAAGAACAATTTAATTATTTAATCAAACAGTGGATCTTTTATGTATGTATTTGAAAATGGTGTTGTAGATGAACTTGTAAATTTTAATGGTATCTATTCATTTTTATATAAATAGAATTGGCCAATTTGCATTTTATTGTCCTCTCAGTATACATATTATTAAGTATCACCAATGATAAATAAAATAATATGTAAAAATAACTAATGAATACCGCCTTACCCAGGCCGTAGCCAGAAAAATATTTGGAAGGGGGGGGGGGGGTTGAACCCTAAACTTAAGGCCCTTACCATATTTATGGAACAAGTTAAATAATCATAAAAAAACAACAATAAATTGTTTGATTTAAATAAAATATAAATTTTCAAGTTAAAATAATTTAGATTATATCAGTGGCGTACCCAGGGGGCTAAGGAGGCTTCAGCCTCCCTCCCCCTCATTGACCGTGTTATGGTATAAACCTTATTTAATAAAAGACAATGTACAAACCATGATATTTCTGTAAACGGTTTTAAAGAAATATTTTGCTTATTACCAATTATTTGTAGAGGTTATTACAGTTATGGGATATAGTAATAACAACCTAGTATAAGGTAACGGATATCAAATTCTGATTTACCTTGTTCAGTTGTTGAGTCCCCCTCCCCCTATCCACTATTGAAAAGTTCAAGATACGCCACGGGATTATATACAATATATATTATATCAAAGAAATTGAATGTATACCCTGATGCTTAATCACTATAATACAATCATTAATATAACTGTACAAGCCATATCAAACAATTGTTGGTTGATTGGATTCACTGAAGTGGGATCTTAAATAATTGCTGGTACCCTCGTCTTAAATTTTATAATTTTTAATGCTTCAATAAATTAATTTATTATTATTTTGATTATAGGCTTAAAAGTTTTAAATTTAAATTTAAGTTTGTCATTTTATATGAATGAATTGTAATATAAAGTTTAATTTCCTTGATTATGGTTTGATTGTAATGCATACTGTATTTACTATTTTTGGATTTAAAATAATTCAATACTTGAATATTTTTAAAACATAACATTTTTCCCATAAGTAAATTATCTAATTTTAATAATTTTAATATTTAATCAGCCATGTCCAATAATTAGTTATAAAATAATTGATTAAAAGTTAAACTTAAGTTGAACTTAAAGTATAGGAATAAATATCTTAGTTATTTTTCTGTATCAAAAACAATGTTTCCACAGTTATATCAATGCTTAAATCTTTATATACTAGAACTTATCATATAATGTACCAGTTAAGAACAATAGGTAAGGAAAGTTTTTTCCTCTATCTGAGTTTATTAAATTTAAACTTTGATAGTTTAAAAAGACATTGTTAATTTATTTACGAAAAAATATGTTATTAAAATATCATATAATCTGAATATTAAACAAATATTGAAGTCGTTAGGTTTTTGGTTAGCATTAAGTTAAGCTTATTTAATCCTAAAAACAATTATTCTTATTCTTAATATTTTAAAGCTTATGTATCGTATAACAATACATGATAAATATTTATCAAAACCATTGTTATCTTAGATGTGTGTGAATATTTATTAATTTTTTTAATGGTGTTTTATTTTAGCCAACAAAGGTATCAGATATGGATCGATTAAAATTGGAATTAACCCAAAAGAAAAATGAAAATGAACTTCTTCGTTCACAATTTATTAAAGCGGCAAATCAAGCTGATGTTGCTGAAAAAAAATTGGAGGAAACGTTAAAAGTAAGTTTTAACTATACAAATATTTTTTGTTCTGAGTTATTAATATAACAGTTTGATTTATTCTTTTTAGGCTCAAGTTGAACAGCCGTCAGAAATTCAAGTCAATGGTATAATAATGCTACAAAACCAATTAGATAATATAAAAAAACAAATAGATGATGAAAAAGAAAAAGTTCAAAATCTACAGTTCACCAATGAAGAACAAAATGTTTTAAATATTGAATTACAAAATAAAAACTCTGAACTTTTAATAAAGATTAAAGAACTAGATGTCGATTTGGCTAAAGAACGAAGTCTAGCAAAAGATGTAGAAAAAGAAAAAATGAAAATTTTTGAAAAAGAAGAAGAATTATGTAGAGTAAAAGAAGAGTTAGAAACTCTAAAAAAATTAATAGACAATAACGAAGATGAATTACAAAAATCAGTATCCAATTTAAGTTCAGAAGTAGTTGATAAAGAAGCAATTTTAAATACATTACGTCAAACATTGAATGAAAATTCTCAAACTCATGATCGTTTATTAAAAGAGGCTAATGAAAATTTATCTGCTACCACAGAACGGTTAACCAAAGTAATAGAAGAAAAAGAAAAAAAAATTGAACAGAATCAAGAGATGATTGACCAATTAAACGAAGGTATAAAATGTTTGAGTGCATTAAAGAATGAAGAACATGATGATATCGTAAATAATCTTAAAAACGAGTTATTAAAATTAGAAAATGAATACAAAGTAATCATTAATGAAAAAGAACAAGATACTAAAATAATTCAAGATAACCATATCAAAATTGAAAATGAACTCAAACAAGAATTAAAAAGTTTAACAGAAAATAAAAATCAAGAAATTGAACAATTACAACAACAAAATCTTGAAAATCTTGAAAAACTTGAAAATGCCAATCAAAATATAAATACAGAATTAAAAGCAGCATTACAATCTATACAAGATCAAACAACTGTAATAGCTGATCTAGAAAAAAAATATAATGATTTAGAACTTCAACAAGATTCTACTAGAAATGAATTAGAAAAAAAACTAACTAAAAAACTCAAAACTGTTGAAAATGAATTAACATGTTTAAAATCTGAAAAATCAATGTTAGAAGAAAAGCATGAAATTTTTGTGAAGGAAACAACAAATGCAACAAACGCCCTGGAGGATAAATTAAAACAAAATAATATTTTAATTGAAAATCTAAATAAATCATTAAATGAGTTAACTTTATCAAAACAAAATGAATTAAATTCTATGAAAAAACAAATACTGCAGTTGGAAGGAGAACGGGACGAGTTATTAAAACAACAAAGTTTAGAATTAGCCACTAAAGATGAACTAATAAATACACTATCCAATAAACTTGAACTGTCATTAACAGAAAAACAAAAACAAGATTTAAGTAATGCTAATTTACAGACTGAATTAACAAATGAAACTACAAAGTATCAAACAACTATTAAAGATTTACAAAACAAAATTAATGAATTAGAAGTAAATATTGCATCAAATCAAGAATCGTATAAATCAGAACTAGAACTATTAAGTAATGAAAAACTAACAAGTACATCAGAAAATTTGAATCTTTTAGAAAAAGTGAAGTCCTTGGAAATATCAAAGTTGAATCTTCAAGATAAATTAGCGTCTAATGAAATATGTATACAAGATATTCAACAGTTAAATAATGTAATTGAGGAAAAAAATAAAATTATTGATGATAATCAAATAAAAATTAAACATTTAGATAATTTTGTTATACAAATCGAAAATCAATACAAAGTTATTCTAAAACAAAAAGAAGAAGAAATCAAGGAGCTATTAAAAATTGGAGAAGAAAAGATGGAAATAGAAAAGTTGTCATTAGAAGAAAAAACTAAAGTTATGTTAAATGATAAAGACAAAGAAAATTCAATACTCCACAAAAAAATTGTAGATTTAGAAAATATCAAAAAAAATTTAGAAATACAATTAGAAACGAGTAAATCACTTGAACAAGATTTGAAACAATCAAATGAAATAATCCAAGATAAAATTAAAACTATTAAAGAAAACAATTTGAAGATTGAAGATCTAAATAAATTAATTAGTCTATCCAAAAATGAACTTGAAAGCTTCAAATTAAAATTTGAAAACCATGCTAAGCTTATATTGGATGAAAAAAATAATGAAATAACCGAACTCATGGAAAAATTTAGTATTCTGGAAAACTCTAAAACAAGCGTTGAGCAACAATTAATTGAAAACAGCAAACAACAAGAAAATATGATATCTGAGCTTAAAAAATCAATTGAAGAGAAAACCAAACTAATTAATGATAATAATTTAAACATTGAGCAGTTGAATAGTATGATTGAGCAATGTAAAGAGAAGTTTAATTCAGAGCTGAAAGAAAAAGAAGACAAAATGAAAGAGCTTATAAAAGTAGGGGAAGAGAAATTAACGGAAGAAAAATTAAAATTAGAAAACCATGCTAAGCTTATATTGGATGAAAAAAATAATGAAATAACCAAACTCATGGAAAAACTTAGTATTCTGGAAAACTCTAAAACAAGTGTTGAGCAACAATTAATTGAAAACAGCAAAAAACAAGAAAATATGATAGATGAACTTAAAATATCTGTTGAAGAGAAAACAAAACTAATCAATGATAATAATTTAAACATTGAGCAGTTGAATAGTATGATTGAGCAATGTAAAGAGAAGTTTAATTCAGAGCTGAAAGAAAAAGAAGACAAAATGAAAGAGCTTATAAAAGTAGGGGAAGTGAAATTAACGGAAGAAAAATTAAAATTAGAAAACCATGCTAAGCTTATATTGGATGAAAAAAATAATGAAATAACCAAACTCATGGAAAAACTTAGTATTCTGGAAAACTCTAAAACAAGTGTTGAGCAACAATTAATTGAAAACAGCAAAAAACAAGAAAATATGATAGATGAACTTAAAATATCTGTTGAAGAGAAAACAAAACTAATCAATGATAATAATTTAAACATTGAGCAGTTGAATAGTATGATTGAGCAATGTAAAGAGAAGTTTAATTCAGAGCTGAAAGAAAAAGAAGACAAAATGCAAGAGCTTATAAAAGTAGGGGAAGAAAAATTAACAGAAGAAAAATTAAAATTAGAAAACCATGCTAAATTTATATTGGATGAAAAAAATAATGAAATAACCAAACTCATGGAAAAACTTAGTATTCTAGAGAACTCTAAAACAAGTGTTGAGCAACAATTAATTGAAAACAGCAAAAAACAAGAAAATATAATAGATGAATTTAAAATATCTATTGAAGAGAAAACAAAACTAATCAATGATAATAATTTAAACATTGAACAGTTGAATAGTATGATTGAGCAGTGTAAAGAAAAGTTTAGTTCAGAGTTGAAAGAAAAAGAAGATAAAATGAAAGAGCTTATAAATGTAGGGGAAGAGAAATTAACGGAAGAAAAATTAAAATTAGAAAACCATGCTAAGCTTCTATTGGATGAAAAAAATAATGAAATATCCAAACTCATGGAAAAACTTAGTATTCTAGAGAACTCTAAAACAAGTGTTGAGCAACAATTAATTGAAAACAGCAAAAAACAAGAAAATATGATAGATGAACTTAAAATATCTGTTGAAGAGAAAACAGAACTAATCAATGATAATAATTTAAACATTGAACAGTTGAATAGTATGATTGAGCAGTGTAAAGAAAAGTTTAATTCAGAGTTGAAAGAAAAAGAAGATAAAATGAAAGAGCTTATAAAAATAGTGGAAGACAAATTAACAGATGACAAATTAGTATTAGAAAAGAATAGTATGCTCATGCTGAATGAAAGAAATAATGAAATTTCCAATCTCATGGAAAAAATTGATATTTTAGAAAATTCAAAGTCAAATTTGGAGAAACAATTGGATATTTACAAAAATCAAGAACATGATATAATAGAGTTGAAGAAAGCTGTTGAAGAAAAAAATAAAACCATAGATGATAATAATTCAAAGGTTGAACTTTTAAACAGTCTAATTATGCAGACTAAGGATGATTTTGATGTGAGGCTCAAGGAAAAAGAAAATGAAACCAACAAGCTTGTGAAAATTGTAGAAGATAAATTGAACGTCGAAAAGAAGGCATTTGAAATACGTATTAAGTCTTGTCTGGATGAAAAAAATACAGAAATTAATATATTAAAAAATCAATTACATGAGTTTGCAGAAAATAATACTGAAAAAGAATTGATGTTGAAATTAGAATCTAATATTAACGAATTAGAAAAAGAGAAATTACGGACATTGAATTTAGAAGCACTAAAAATTGAGTTGGAAAAAACTGTGTTACAACATAAAACTGAATTGGAGCTATTAGAAGTATCCAAAATTAATATGCAAGAAGATATGGGTAAAACTATTGAAAAACAAAGGGGTCTTAATGCCGAACTAACGGCTAAAACTAAAACTGAATCAGAACGGTTAGATGCTGAAAAATTAAACATCCATAAACAAATTGATGGACTACAGATTGAGTGTTCTAGGCTACGATCAACACTAGAAGAAAAGAACCATGAAATCGAAAATCTAAAAATTCAAATGTCTGAAGAATTGAAGCCTACTGTTTCTTGCAATGATGAATTGAGTCAGTTAAAAGCTTTACTGTGAGTAAAAATATTAAAATAAGATATCAAACAATAATAGAATATTTGTACATGAACTTTTAATTTAGTTCATTTGTCTATTCAATGTAATAAGTTGATCCTATATTATTATTTTACTGTATATTTGTATTTTAGTGATAAGGGTCACAGCGCTCAATCTCACTTGGAATTCCGTATTCAAGAGCTAACAGATGAAAACCATCGTTTAAATGAACGTATTGAAGGTGACAGTAATCTACTTCAGAAGAATCATAACATTATGTAAGTTGACTAAGTATAATATTTAAATTAATTGTTAAAATGAATTAATTTTATTTAATTTTGGCAGACAAGAAAAATATAACATTGAAAAAAAATATGAAGAAACTTATAATATTTTAAAAATTAAAGAGAATCAAATTTTAGTGTTGCAAACCGAGGTTAGTATCAGAAATATCTATTTTTGATTAAGACATATTTACAGAAGTGTTTTACACACAATATTATAAGGTTAATCCCCGCCCAGACCAAAGAAAAATTTGTCTTCGACAATGTTTCTGATTTCCCATCATAAGCAGTAACATAAGTAGTTGTCAACGACAATAAAAGAAACATAATATATTTCTGATAAATGTTTCTTGGTCTGGACTAGGAGGGAGCTTCACAATAATATTTATTATTTACTATACAGTATACTTTAACAAGATATAATAAATAATAGTTTATTATTATTTATTGAATACAGTGGAAATCATATTACCGTAATACTACTTTATAGGTTTATTAGAATTTTACTGTATTCAAAGATTTACATGATTAGTCTATAGGCTATTATCTTAAAATAATTTTTTTTTTGTATTAATTATGATGTATAATAATAATGTATCCTAATAAATAATAATTATGAATAATATTTAAATAAAAAATTACTAAGAAATATATACATTTTTATATGTTTAGTTGAATTCTTGGAAGTTAAAGGATACAGAGAAATCCAAGAATAATAATGCTCAAGAAAATACAGATAAATCTGGTAATTCATTATATTGTTTTTAAATTGTGATTACATTTGGGTCTGAATTATTATTTTTATTTTTAGAAGCCCATTTATTGGCAGAAAAAAATCAAGAAATTAAAATGTTGAATTCAATAATATTAGGCTTGCATAAAAAGTTATCTGCTGTTATGGAAACTGATGTTTCTGAATATGAAATGTAAGGATATTATATTTAATTATGTATAAAGATATTATTTCAATGCTCATTAGTTATTATGTTAATGAGAAAAGTAATTTTTTTGTAATAAAAACAACGTAGGAATTTATTACAGTCAAATTCTTAAATAGTAGTGAACAGAAAATTTATTAGGTTAGAAGTAATACTATGTTTGAATATTATATTATTATTCTTTAATTATTTCTTGATTGAGTACTAATGTCATAGATTGGTATTAAGCCAATGATAATGTTTTGTTTATCTTTTAAAAATATTTAATCAATGCTAATATATTTGGAATTTTCTATATATTCAGTGCAAAAAACCCTGAGAGCGTTTCAAAAGAAGATTATCAAAAATTATATAAAACAGCTAAGAACAATGTTAAACTAAAGGAGTGTGAAAATTTATCATTGAAACACGAGGTTGATTTGAATAACATTAATATATATTTATTATTTAGATCATTTTACCTGAGTAATTTGAAATTTGGTTTTCAGATTAATAAGTTAAAAACAGAAAATGATCGTTATTCAGAGTTCAAAACAAAATGTGAAATTTTAGAAAATGATAAAAAAACACTTCAAAAATTGATAGTTAGTTATGACAACTCTATTCCAACAAATGTAAAAAGTGATACTAAATCCGGTTTGTAATTCTATAGTATTCAAAATAAATAAATAAATTCATTTAAAACAAAATTAAATTATCATGAATTGTAAATTTTGAATGTTTAGAAACAGAAAAAATACTTGAAGAAAAAGACTGGCAGATAAATTTGTTAAATAACATAATTGCCGATCTTCATGCCAAGGTGTCAGATAATAAATTTAAAGTTGAAGCACTAGAAACACAAATTTTAGACTCTGGAGTGTAAGTATCCAAAATATTACAATTATAATTCAATTTTAATCTCCTATTTTAAAATTTGTGGTAATAATTTATACTGGTGGTTTCCAAACAGTGACCCCATTGTAAGGGCTATACTTATTAAATAATTTTTTAACCTAACCAAAATGGTAATATTGTCACTGGTTTGTTATACCTAATTAAAGTTTATATGCAACTTTATTTCAAATTGGTTTTTAAAATATAAATAGTTACATTGGTGATAATAATTGGTGACTGGTATTTATTTCTAGAGATCAAAGCAAAAAAACACGTTTAAGAACTACTCGTCTTTATTGTGAAAGATGTGAAATATTTGATTCTCATGATACCGAAGATTGTCCTGAAAAACCAGAATCTCCAAAATTCCAAAGGAAACGAAGAGTAGTTAACGATGGTTCAAATAAAATGATTGATGAACCATTTTGTATATGTTGTGACAGTAAGTTATTTCTTATTACCATATTATAAGGCTACTAATGTACTGTGAGATCTACTATTTTATATCAATATTCTTTTAAAAATATAATAATAATTAAAAAAAAATTATTCTGTTTAGTGTTTGGACATACAGCTGACGAATGTGACAACTCATTAACATTTTAGTTTGGTGTGGACTATGTTGCCGATTGCTTGGTATCAAAATAATTGCTTAGTAAATTAATGTTTTTATTATTCTTATTTAGAATTATTCAGTAAGACTGATTTTAAGTACACTTATAATTTAATAGGTATTGTAAGTGAGAATTATTTATTTATTTATTGTCTGTTATACAATTTAAATGTGATATTAAATTTTAGGTAGTAATTCATACCATTGATTATGTACAGTACTATATTATAATTAATAGTTAAAGTAGTTTATTTAATTTCAATTTTTTTTTATATTTTTTTTTTTGTCATAACATTAATTAATTAATCAACATAAGTGTTTAAAATGATAAATAAGTTATAATTTTTAAATCAAACATAAATATTGTTCCAAAAGAAATCAACAATACTTTTACTACATATTTTATTATTCCCTCTCAATAACCTTAAATTTGTTTTTGACGACTGTTCATAGCAAGGTTATTAATATGTATAACTTAGTTATAGCCATATTATAATACTAGCTAATTGTATGTAACTTATAACTATTAAGTTTAAATGTAATTATTATTTAATTGAAGTATTATCTATTTATTTTTATTGCAAACAGATATTAATATTTGTGAATAGTGAATTTAAAAAATATATTGTATACATGCCATATATTTTTAATTGTTGCCACACATTTCAGAGCCACATATTTTAAGCATTGAAATATAATATTTAATACCACAAACCCTAGTAATACTAGTTAAAGTATTACATTATTTGATGTTAATGAATATTTGTTATTAGTTATAATTTTAGTAACGTTTGGATTCAACTAGTAATGGATCAAAGAGTTTGGTTTTACAGATGTTGCAAAAATAACATTCCAATTTCTGAATACATTGTAGCGAATATACATTACCTAGTAGCAACAAAGTACAAACTTACAACTTATTGAATAGCAATAAAAATCTTTCTATGAATATCAAAATAATCTATTTGTTTTCTATATTTATAATTGAGTTTCTGTCTAATAACATACAATATGTATAATTGTATTGGACATCAGTAAAATCACATAAATTGAATAATTTGGTAACTAATAAGACTTTCAATTTGAACATTATACATTTCTAAAATAACCGTATTCTTCACTGTGTTTGATGAATTTAATTCTTTATAAAATGTAACTTTTAAAATAAAAATTATATAAAATTTTAACGACAAAAAAATTAAACCAATTGCATTATAATAAGTCTATAATTTTAAAAGTGAAACACGTTTAACAACATATAAATTAAATAACTAAAGGTAACAATAAAAAATAAGTGTTGTCTATACATACATAAATTAATAAACAAGTCAAATTGTCAACATAACAAAACGTAAATCAATAATCATATAATATGTATTATGTGTCATTTAGCGATTTGTTTAAAAATATTAAAGGAGCACACTGCACACATTATTTTTATCTTAAAACTATAATTCGACGTTTATAAAATGTAGTACAACTGGTACAAGTATAAACAAACGCATCCAATGTATGATAATCAACCAATTATTATTATTCAGTGATGTTTGAAGTTGTATTTAATCACACTTAAAATGTTAGATAGGCTGCCATGTGATCACATAGCTATTTTCAATTTCCTGTACTTATTCGAATAATTAAAATAAAATGGTGGCTACTATATTATACATTTTCTTAAAATAAAATATACTTTAAACCTAAATAAACTTATTTTGGTACTTCCCGGTTTACTATAATACCCAAATATTTCTAAGACTAGCTCGTATAACCTGATAAAATGCTGTACACTTATAATACTGAATTAATAACCTTGAATTTTGATTTTAATTATTTAATTTTTGTTTTAAATTTAAAAATTGCTGTAGTTGAGATAACTAAGAAGATGATACCAGGTAGTCTTGGAAATATTTCGGAAGTCAAGATAACCCTATTTTTATAACACCTATTTTTTGTGACATGTGCTCCTTTAAAAAATACAATTTTCTAAAAAAAAAAAAAAACTTTACAGCAAAAGATACCGGATAGATATCATATTACCATCGTACGTGATCTTTGTACTCATGAAGTACACTAACTCTTTTAATGCTCTCGTAACCTAAAATAATTGTAAAACTAAAACAAATTGACTGGACCAATCTGGCAGAAAGTCCTTTACTGAACATCAACATGCCTTCTTCTTTCCATAAGGCGTTGAATGTACCAACAATAGAGTTTGTTCTTTGAACCTACAAAAATAATTATTTTTCATTAATTTAATGTTCAATTGAATTTAAGTATTAATTTTATTAGGTATAGAATTTGTATTGCAACATTAAAAAACTTAATAGGTAGTCCAATAATATTTGATGTATTAATAAAGCATACATTTTCATTTTTATTTACCTGGTGTACACTACTAGCACTTAAAATTATAATCCATAGATAGGTAAGTTACCTAAGTTAGAATAAAAAAAAGATTCAGAAAAAGTCGTACTAACTTGCCAGCATGACTTAGATTCTGAGTGGAACGATGAATGTATTGATTTTACAATGATGTATGTTTTAGATTCTGAGTGAAACGATGAATGTATTGATTTTACAATGTGTTTTTTTTTAAATTTTTAAATTTTTTTTTGTGTCCGTCATAACGTTTTAGGACAGTAAAAGTGCTCGGATTTTCTTCAATAGTAGCTTTTCTGATAGGAAAGTGAATGTAGTTGGTACTTTGGGGGGTCAAAAGTAAAAATTTCTCAGTTGATTTCACGAGCGCCGGGAAAAATAACATAAAAATTAAGGAAAAACGGGAATTTTTACGCGAAATCGGTTTTCCAAAAAATTGATTTTGGTTTTTGGTGTAACTCTAAATCAAACGAACGTATATACATGAAATTTTCACTGGTTGTTTATATTTGCATTTTCTATACACGATAACATTTTAAAAATATTATGAATTGTTTTGAACTCTTTAGGAACATTTTCATTTTCCATTTTTTTTTAGTTTTTTTTCTAAAAATATCAATAAAATTTTATTTGTTGGTTGCGAAAGCTTGAAAATTTAATAGAAGGCTCCTAGTATATTGTTTCAAAGGCAGATGAAAAATATTAAAAATCCTTAGTCACAATTTTTTTTTATAAACATTTAAAGTTCAAAAATTGACAAAATATGGAAAAATCACGAAAATTAGCAAATTATTTTGAGTTAAGAATTCGTAAAAATTTTTCTTTTTAAATCTAAGATTTGAAAATATGATACAAGATTCCTTATAAGATTATCTACCTTTATCAAAAAAAAAATTCTATAAGAAAGACAAATTAAATTTTTATTAATGTTTGAAATTCAAATTTTTACAACATTGGATATTCACTCGGTTTCTCATGTAACGATTTCCTTATTTTGTTGTAATTCAAAAACGAACAACTGTAGATACATGAAAATTTCACTGAATGTTTAAATTAGCATTTTCTATACACCATAAAATTTTGAAAATATTTTGACTCTTTTTGAGCTGTTTACGGGCATTTTCAGTTTTCAATTTTTTTAGTTTTTTTTTCTATGAATATCAATAAAGTTTTATCTGTTGGGCCAAAAAATGTAAAAATTTAATACAAGGCTCCTGATATATTGTTACAATAGCAGTTGAAAAACATTGAAAATACATAGGCACAGTTTTTTTTTATAAGCATTTAAAGATCAAATTTTGACAAAATTTATCAAATTTAAAATTGAATAATTATTTTGTAGTTAAAAATGTATAAAATGTTCAACTTTTATATCTAAAGATTGAAAATTTAAAACAAAGGTTCTCATAAATAGTTCATACTGTAACCAAAAAATGTAAAAATATATGAACACAGTTATTTTTTACAGACATTTTAAATTCAAATTTTGACGAAATTACATAAGAAAAAACCTAGAATAACTATTTTAGTTATTTTGTTGTGATTGTATAAAATTATTCGTGGGTACTTGAAACTTCTAAAGTATACTACTATATATCTATGATAGTATCAGGGTTTGTTGTTGGTGTATAACGCATTATAAGTACGTAATGGATATTGTGATATGATTAATTTGGAATTCATTGTAGGTCAATTTTTTTTTAATACCATAGATAAGTATATAATATGTCTTATACCTAGAAGGACATCCCGTCTCCACTCAGAATCGTTTTTCTTATACAATGATATAATATCATTGAATTCAAATGTAATACCATCACATTATACAGTGACCCACTTGTAACCTACTGTACAGCAGAGCGACACCCACTTGCCCACCTTTTTTTTGTTGACTCCAAAAACAACACACTTATTTTTACAAGACGAAACCGCACACATGTGTGATTTAAAATTTAATATATCTTGTTATTGTATACATATTATAAGTTATAATTTAGTAAAACTATTGAGTTGCGTTGTAAAGCCGTATAAATAAATGTTTACGAAATTTACTATTATAGATTTATCTACTATAAAAAAAATAGAAAGTATATCAAAACTATAATCACACCAGTGTCATTAACACAAAAAACACTTAAGATTACATAAAAAATTAAAAAAAAATTATGTTCAAATATTGAAATTGTTGTGTTAATCTAGACACTTTTACACGTAAAACATACGCCTGTATCTCATTGAATAATTAGTGTTTAAGTGTGAGACCCATACAAATATAGATAATGACATAATTTAAATCTAAGCAAACTTGGTTTTAGTGTTTTGATATCCTTTAATTTCTAATTCTTAAGTTTCAAAGTTATACCAAGTTGGTCGTTTATACTTAATCCAACCTACGGAGGATTGGGTACAATATGCCACCTGGTGGTTTTTGATATAGCTGTATAACCTGACTTCGCCTGGGAAAAATTGATCAACTAATATAAAATACAGTGTTATATTGGTGTATTTATGTTTTGGTGCAACCCAGTTCAGATTTTAATATGCCAGAAATCTTAGCAGGAGCGAAAATTATATTCAGTCATAATATCTATTTTATTTTCTATGAAAAAAAAAAAAATTTTTCTATAACCAATAGCAGAAAAAAAAAATTAGAATTTGTTCGTGAGCTAAATAACAAAAGATATTTTTTGCCCATTTCAACCCCTTGAAATCAAAAGACAAATTATTGAAAATCGTTTCTTATTGCACATCTAGATTATAATACAATTATACCAGGAAAATGTCTCAAAATGTCCACTATTATGCACTCTAAATGTTTTGTACTTAAATTTTTGACAAGTATTAAACACTTTCCACCTTTATTAATATCAATCATTTTAATATCCATTAAAATCTAAATTGAAATGAATAAAATAAAAATTGCATATGTTTTACCACTATATAGGTACAGTACTAATATCATAAAACTATACATAAGACCGACCGATCGGCGACTAAAGATTTAAAACATGTAGGCATGATTATTATACAGTTTCTAATTATCTACTCTATTTTTTTATTTGACCCAAAAATATTATATGGTATTTTGCTGTTTTTATAATGTATGGGGTCAAAATCATCAAGTGTGTAGTTTTTGAATGCAACTCATTTTTAAACCTTGCTTCTAAACTATCAATTTAATGAATAACGACTAATTGGTTTATAAATTGTTATTTAATTATTTTAATGATTTATTAATTGATAGAATGTATAAACATTTTTTGAAGAATGCCAAAATATTGCTTAAATTGAACAAACAAAAATTAATCATAATTTCACAAAAAGCAAATAAAAATATTAATTAATATGTAAGTCAAAAAGTCAAACAAAAGTCTAATAGTTTTAGGCAAAGAATTAAATCTAAGAGTTTTGTTAAACTTATTTTACCTGTAATCGTGCTCTTATTGTGTCCATGGGATTTGTTATCAGAGTAGTAGTGAACCCAGCTAGTACTCCTGATATGCTTTGCAAAAATAAAAGTGATGTATTTACTGGACACCTTTTTTCAAGTTGATCTGATTGTTAACAAAAATGTATTACAATTAGTAATAATTTATAATATCATGAAATTAGCATTTTTAAAACTAGGTACAATTTTAAAACTGATTCATATAATATATCACATTGTTTTCATTCAACTCCACCTTTAACAATTTCAAAAGTTACCATTTTAGTTAGATGCTCATATAAAAATACTGTTTTTCAACTAACCTATTTTTGGGTTATATTTCATTGCATGCTGTCAATAAAAATCTAGCATTTCATTAATCAAATTATTTGAATTACTAAATTTTTTAACTATACGAGTATTGTAATAAAGTATTAACAAATAATTAAATTTAGGAACAAGTTGATCACTATAATTAAGGTTAGTTTGGTTTCAAAGACATTCAATAAAACTGTTTATTGTTATTAGTATAAATATTATGAAATGAATAAATCAAATATAATGGTCATTAATACAGAAAATATAAAATAATCAGTGGTTGGGAAAATTATAACAAAAATATTATCAAAATAATGCAGATTGGTGGTTTTAATCAAAATTACTAGGTATGTCAGCAAAAACATTTTTATTACTTTTTCTACACTTCTGATAAAAAATACCAATGATCTTTTAGTGATTCTTAATATCTTAATGGGTGACATAGCTGTCAAATATTGTGAGTTGTTTGCTGACACACCAAATTATTTGGCCACGTGTAGTAAGTACATGAGACCTAACAGCCCAAAATGGAATTTAAATACACAAATCTCTGAAAATACTAAAATCAATACTTAATAGTTAATACCATATGACTCAACTATACAGGAATTAAAAATGATGAGCAAAAAAATCAAATAAAGTAAATAGATGAAGAATTTGCAAGGTTGTGTTAGATACTTGAATACTAGATAGAACATTTTAAATAATTTATTAACGTTGTGGCTAGATACACGGACACTGAATATCTAATATGTACCGGACACTGTTTTTCACAGTGATTTATTAAATAAAAAAGTTAATAACTTTTTGTATAAATAATCAAAAATTATTTTATATTTTATACGGAATTGTTATTCAACTAAAACATTGAATAACCAAGTGAAAAAATTCTAACAAAATATTAGATAATTTTAACTATTATTTATTGTGAATACCTTGGAATATGGTATAAAAACTCCACCATAATGCACTATTTGGTGCATATGTGCAAACAGAGGCTACGTAACCTCTGTAGAATCCTTTAAAACCATCCTGTTGATAAACACATTGAGCAATATCTAATGTGGTACGAAATTTTGATTTTGAGATATCCAAATGTATACCCAGTGGACGAAAATATATCTAAAATAAAAAGGCTCAAATTTAATAAATCAGTACAGTTATCAAAAAAAAACATGATTTGTCTTCATAGTTCAATTAGGTAATAAATACTATGATATAAAATATAAATTTAAATGGAAAACATAATTTATAATAATTAATAGTAAATACTATAATTTATAAATATATTTAATGTTGAGAACATTGTTGGCAATTAATTATAATCAATTACCTACTTAGTTTTTTTTTTTTTTTTTTTACAATAATGTGTATATTTCACCGTACAGCTTAACAAAGAATAGTCAATATTAATTTTTGATAGTTAAAATGTTAGGTATAATTATTACTTTTTATTTATTCAATAGGTAGTAAAATGAACCACTATTGATATAGTATTCTAAATAGATAAGTATCGCCTTTACATTATATGGTTGAAATTAAAAGTTTACATATTACACTGATTAACAAAAATAATATAATATACCTATTTATAAACATAAAAATATTTTAATTATGATTAAATCAATAAATTTTATAATTTAGTACAGCACACTACACAATCGTAAATATTTTATTAGTATAATAGTAGCCATAATTACTAGATTAAGTACATAGGACTTTTCCGTTCAGCCATTCAGAGTGTAATTATTAATATATAGAAGTTTTCCAATACCTAAATTCAGGATTACTAAATGCATGGATGAACTAGACTTTCACTTAAACTAATTATAAAAAAATATTTTACTAATAGAAAAATCAAAACAATTCAATTATATTTAAATATTAAAGACTGAATTATATATAAGTAGTAATATATTTATAGGAAAGAAAAACTAAAAGAAAATATGTCCCAGATTTACATTTTACTTATTTTCTTATATATTTAAGATTAAAGGTCAAAAGTACACCATTATCTAACATACCTAATGCTTTTCCACAACCAATAAAATTATAATATTGAAAAATTATTATATTTTATAGATATAGATATATCAATTATTTATTTTTTCTAAGGATTTGAATCTTTAATTGATAAATAAATAAATAAATAATAAAAATGAATTAATTATTAAGTAGGAACTTCTATTTTTATAAAAGAAGATCCATAATTTTTTTTTTATCTACTCCTAGTGTTATGACATAATATTTATTTACATAAAATAACTTTTGGAATATAACACAGACTTACTATTTTATTTTTGTCTGTACTACTAGTTGACAAGCCGAGCATCATTAAGTGTTGACTGACCACATCAAAAGGTACAATTATTGTTTGGCCAAAAACAGATGCCACACCTCCCGCAACCATTGATCTAATTTCAGGCCATTGTTGCAAATATGGAGCTGTCATATGTCTAGTTTGTTCGTATGCACCAATGTAAGCTGCACCAGATAATACTTGGGCAGAACTCACCCAAAAACCGCGATAAAGTCCTGACATACCTTCCGTATGATAAATACGGTTAGCCGCATCCAGCAAACCTAAACACAAAATTGGGTTTGTAGTTAAATTTTGTTTACATAGCAGAATAATTAGCTTAAAAAAACTTCTAAGTTAACATTTTATATGAATCAAATTCACTCAATTTGAAATATTTATTTATATAAATACTCTATAATTTCTAATAACTGTGATAATATATTTTACTGCTTTAAGACTTATTAGGTATAAATAGTTATGGTTGTTTTGTTTTAAGCCATCTACTATTGTTAGTAGCATGTAGTCTTTGTCGTCCCGAACCAGTTAACGTAACAACTTGATGGTTTTTATAATAAGACAGAAAACACTGTGTTTGGTGTACCGCCATGTACATCAAATATATTCATTTATTTTTTATTTGTGTTAGAATACAGTGTATTTTAAAATAAATAATGTTACCTTTATACATTTCTCCATGTTTCTGGATTTGAAGTCTTGTTTTAATTAAAGTCAATGGATAGAGAGTACAGCGAACACAAAACGAGCTTAACATACTTAATGGCAAAAATTTTGTCTTATCCATCATATCCCATTCGATCGTCGAGACATGTGATCTTGAAGAAAACTTACTTGGTTCAGACATTTTTCTGTTATGTTGTTATAGGAAGTACAAAGCTTAATATATTTGATGTTAGAGCATATTTATATAGCTAATATTTACTTATAAATTAACAGACACAATTAAGAATAATTATTTAAACACTGATACATAAAAAATACAAAATTAAACATTTATAGACAAGTGCCTTTATATCAGCTACCTATTTAAATTTCAAATAATTAAATGCAATTAAGATTTTTTAAAAACGGTTTAAGTACAAAAAAAAATAATTGAGATTACATATTATTTTAATCTGAAAGTTCTTGGGACTCCACTACTACTCAGTACTGAGTAGTGAGTACTGAAAACTGAAAAGTAAATTGGTAAAATAATCTTATCGTTAAATATGATAAAAATACGACATGGTATCAATAAACCATACTTGATTATACCATAGAATACACGGACTAAGATATACAGGACTGGACACGACAAGGTTGGAGGGTGTGGGGGGGTTGACTACGAAATGTTTTACAACAGGCAGTGTTCGGGGGGATATTTTCCTTTTAGCATTACTAGCGCCGTCCTAGTGGATACTTATGGAACTAGAACACATCATACAAATTTATAGTTCCATAAGTATCCACTAAGACGGCGCTAGTAATGCTAAAAGGAAAATATCCCCGCGAACTCCGCCTGTTGTAAAACATTTCGTAACCACAATATTCATCTCGTGTCCAGTCCTGTATATCCACAGAACAATATATCTTAGTCCGTGATGGTTATCATCGTGATGGTTAATCATAGTCCGTGGTTATCATACTATCAATAAACGGTTTTTAAAACTTGAACGAATTCATTGATATCAATCCACTGTGGTACATGGCGGCATGGCGCCATGGCGGTAACGGGTAAGTACTAAGTACATTTACAAAAGATAAACGATTTAAATTTTAAATTGAAAACCGGAATTTGTAATACCTTCAATTTCAAAAAATGTCTGAAGAATTTCTAAAATGCCAACTGGGCTTTTTAGGAAACACCGAAGGCTCGGCATATTTATCTCAAGGTAAATGATTCAATGATTTTTACTGTTGATGAGCGTTTATTATAATTTTTTTACATATTTTATATTTAGGTAAAAGTACTGTTTCCGTGTCCGTTGTTGGACCATTTGAACCCAAGGCTAGTAAATGCATGTACGATCGTGCCACCATAGATGTGACTTTTAGACGAAAAACTGGAAGCATAAGTACTTATAGATTAATACTTAATGTTAGTTGGAAACAAATTTAACCGAACTTTTACATTTTACAGCCGTTCATGACAAAATGTTGGAAGGTATAATGCAATCAACATGTGAAAAGGCCCTAGTCGTCGAACAATACCCCAGGACTACTATTGTTGTAACAGTCCAAGAGATGCAGGACAGAGGAAATGTATGTGTATTTTATTTTTTAGTTTTAAACCAATAATTCGTTCGTAATGGTACAAATGTTGTTTAGTTATTGTCCACCTGCTTGAACGCTTCTTGTATGGGACTGATGAATTCTGGTATTGCTATGCATCATTTGTATGCAGCTGTGAGTTGTGCTGTCACAGAGAAAGAAGAAATTATTCTAAATCCAGATGAATCACAAATAAATGTATGACAGTTATAGCTGATGGATAAGTAAACTTCCAGCCATGTTAATAATGTACAAATTTATGTTTTTTTTTCAGTCTTCTGTTGCATATTTTACACTAGTGTTCGCAAACTCTGAAACCAGGTGTCTGTTAACGTCACATACCACTGGAGAGTTCTCACAGAAAACATACATAGATTGTATGGACAAATGTTATGCAGCTAGTAAAGAGGTTTTTAATTTTTATCAAAAAGTCATAAAAAGAAGTTCTATTTTCAATTGAACGTCTAATATTTTGTCACTTTGAATGTTCATCATGTAAAACAAAAAAAACTAAATACCTATCGTTGATTTTTTTATGATTGTGAACCTCTTGTGTAAAAAATAAACGTTCATACCATGATATACCTTATAAGCCCAGACTATTTAAACTAACACTGTCGCACGGGTAGAAAGAGAATTTTTTGAGTGTAGACATTGAGGTATTACTTCAAGCATAAACTCTGATACCTATGAGTCTATGACTATATTATATCTTGGTTATAGATATTATATCCTAGTTATATACTTATATGTAAATTATTAACAAATAATTGCTCAAAAAAAAATTCCACTAACCACTTTTTCCTAAAAAACGTTTATGGTTCATTATTTGGAATAAATAATTTTTTAGAAAAGAAGACCATTGGAACAATTGTATTGTAGAACTACTGAATATGTCCCGTTCATGCTTACTATTTTTCTGTTATCCATTTTTTCATATGATCTGTTATCTGTAAAAATGTCCTAGTATGGTGTAAGAACCTAATAATTGTAGTTTCTGTTTAAATTTGTATTTTGTATTAATAATTTCACTGAATTTTGAATTTGAATTAAGTTTAAGCAATACCTATTTATATAATTAGTTAAAAACCAATACCTATTCCTTGATAGTATAAAAATGGCCGATTCTGATAAAGGCAACGATGCAGCTCTGGAATGGTTGAAAAAGAAAACGGAAAAAGGCCAAAAAGCAGATTATCAAATTAAAGCTGAAATGGAAGATGTTGGTAACAAATTTTTGAGGAAATTCAAAGAAAACCCATTAGTGCCCATTGGTAAGTTAATTCAATACTAGAGTGGCAAAATATTGTAGTTTCCTCAATTATTTACTTTTATAATATCATCAGGTCATTATTTAGTTAGTAGTTAATACACCAATTATCCCTTCTCATAAATCAATAATTAACAAGAGAAAATAATATTTGTCTCATTTAACTATTTTAAAGTTTTAAAGGAAAAACTTTTCACAGTGCAAATATGAAATAGGTACAAAGTTATAGTTGTCCAACAAGTGTTTGTGAAGCCCTTGATATATATCTACTACTACAGATATCTTCAAACTTCTAAAATAAGATTTTCAAGGCACGTAGCTTGGTGTGCCTGCGCTCTGCACTGTATCAAATTGTACATTTTAGTTTCTTTTACAACCGAGTCCTGGCAGATTTTTAACTCTAGTGCAGTTCCGAAGGCTTATTTAATGCATTTATTCCTTTACAGTGAATGTTGACTCAATCATCACGTGTTACATATTAGTATGAATTTCCTTAGTAGGTACATATTTCTTAATTTACATATTTCCTCGCATATTTCCTTTCATAAATAATATACTAATATCAGCTGTAGTTTTATTACAATACTACTATATTAAAAAATATAATAATTCACAAATAATGTTATGTTAATGTTAATTTGTTTTCATTTTCAGGTGCATTGGTCACTGTTGGTTTTTTGAGCGTAGGTCTAAAGAGTATGTATGATGGCAACAGAGTAAGATCTCAAATGATGATGCGAGGGCGTATTGCAGCTCAAGGATTTACTGTTATAGCTATATTGGGCGGTTTGTTTTATCAAGGGATGACAGCATTGAGAGAAACTGAAGACGACACTCACGAAACTGGTTTAAAATAACGATTTGTGCTATGCTACATATTGTTTTACAGTCCAATTATTTGTTGTTTTTTTTTTAGTACTTACAAGCATTTTACACAGATTATTTGTTAACACGGTATTTAAACATTGGCGTTCGCATTTATCTAAATATATACATATTATTATATAATTAGAAAATATAATGTCTTGAGTGGATAATCAATTTTCCGGTACCTACTATAACTAATTGAAGTAGGACGTTGGAGTGCCATAATCAATTTATTTCATTGGAATTTTTCAATTAGATATGATAGGCGTAAGTCTAAAGCTAGGAAGCCTTAGATTTTACTTAAGGACATTTGTTTCCTTATTATATTTAATACTTCTCTGCTAAGTATGTTCCATATTAAAAAAAAAAAAAAAATACAAATTAGAGCATCAAGATTTGGAATCAAATAAATATCGTTTGATTTCATATAAAAAGATGGTAAATTACATACCAACTGTAAATTAGCACTTACGGTGATAAATGTAAGGGACTCCAGCTTTCCTTCATTAAGATTACTATCTGTATATTGTCATCACTCATCATATTGTAAGAATCTATATTTGAATCTCAGAACACCTCAATAAAGCTTTGTGTTTTTGGTATAGAATACAAATTACAAACTTGCTACTTGCTACTTGCTACTACTGATCAATACCTAAATTTTTTTCAACTTATATTCTTTGAGAATGTTATAAAATATAAATCTTATTATATTAACATACTTAAGGGGGCTACATCAGGTTTTGTCAAAACTAATGTAGATTTGACCAATCTAAGCATTAATTTTGTTTGTTATAATGTTTTTCAAAATATTTAAATTCCGTATCATAAAATAAACCTTAAGGGGGCTAGAGGGGGCTCCATTCAATGAAAAAAAGTGACTTTTAGACCACTAAGCTAGACAAAACTGGAAGAATTTGGTTTGACAAATTTTAATTTTGAAAACGGATTATGATTGATCAACAAGTTTACCAGGGAATGATCGAGGCAATTTTGAATATTCCAATTATTGTTAGTGTCATAATGAATAATATAAATACAAAAATATAATATTTTTTGGATATCGCAGTTAAAAAAAAAAAAAATTCAAAATCGCCTCCATCATTCCCTAGTAAACCCCGTTTTCAAAATTAAAATCTGTTAAACCAAATTCTTCCAGTTTTGTCTAGCTTATTGGTCTAAAAATCACTTTTTTTTCATCTGCTACAGCCCCCTTAAGTAGATTGTATATAACATCTATTATAGATACTACAATTATTTTGGGTTTTTGTTATGTTTAATTATGATCTATGGTATCAATTATAAGGTGTGTACTCTGTGATATAAATTTATTATATAAAATTAATATTATAATGTAATAGAATTTAGATAAATGTTTTAATCAAAAAAGTATATTATTTTATTGCTAAAAATGTATGGGTGGCATATATTAACTACTTATAGCAGCTATAAGAGGCATAATTTGAGTTTCTAAACGTATATAAACAAGTATGCTATATTATTATAAATAAAATATAAATTGTATAAAAAAAATATAATTAGGTATAATGCTTGAATATAATATTATAGTTTATAGGGTGTATTATTAATTAATATATTTTCTGAAAAATTATAAAATAAATAAATGTAAATGAACTTCTCATAATTACAGTATGGGTCTTGGGAGGGCTAGTTTTTTATTTGAGCGCTTAGCCTCCCCCCCTAGTACCGCAAATGTTATAGGGCCGTATTTTCCATCTTGATTAAGTATAAAAATGACTAAATCAGACTGCATGCATACATCTTGATATTATAATTTAATGATCACGGCGTTCTGTATAGGCTTTTTAGGTACACGACTGTCATGAATCCGTTTTCTGGTATCTCATAAAGAGGACGCCACACGGACATTTGGTGTCTCCGTCATACAAGTTACAATTGCGTATTATAGCAAATTTTATGCTCAGCCTATCACGTTTAGCTCTGTTGGTTTTAAAATTAGAGTGAATTGACCTCTTATAAAATTTGAAGGTAATATTATTGCCTTGGACATCTCATAGACTTTTTGTTATATTTTAATTTTAAAGCGAATTATGAGTATTTTAAGGTATGCAAACAATTTACAATTTTAAAATACTCAGGAGACCCCAGGATTGAGTAATACGATATAGGAATATTTTATATTATTCTTTATAGTTAATTAACGAATACCGGACACCTATAAACGGATTCATAGAGTAAACATTTAAAGCAACTATTTAAAAACCGACCAAGTGTTAGTCGGACTCATGCACGAAGGGTTCCGTATCATCATCTATAAACATGTTGGCAACACTGCTTTTATTATATATTCTAAGATTTTTAGTATTTTTTGTTATAGCGGCAACAGAAATACATAATCTGTGAAAATTTCAACTTTCTAAAATTCTAACTTGCATGGTTCATGAGATACAGCCTGGTAACAGACGGACAGACAGCGGAGTCTTAGTAATAGGGTCCCGTTTTAAAAATGAATAATTTTATAATTACATGGCTTTTATTTTGAAATAGGAAAACTATTTTTATTTTTATTAATTAACCCGTGGCAACTTAGGTTATTGGGTGATTGTAAACAGTGGGGGAGGGTACTGTAGGTTTTTGTAAACACGTGAGTTTCTTTTTTGTTTGGCCGAATTTCAATTGGGCACTCGTAGGTTTTTGACATGTCCGGTCGGGGGATGGCGGCTTCTTTCTATAGACAGATGTCTGCCCGGAGAGAAGTGCCACCCGTGACCGAGATTCGAACCGGCGACGGTGCGCGTCGCAACCGACGCCTTAGTCCGCTCGGTCACTCCGTCCCCCCGAAAACAAATTGTGTATCTACCCAGTGGCGTAGACATGATTTCTGAAGGGGGGGATAAAAAAACGACATCTAAATGGGAGGGGAAAATTGGAAAATCCCCCACCCTCTCAAAACTGTTTACTAAGGTAATAAAAAGCCAATGGGGGAGGGTCTGACTCCTTCGTCCCCCCTTTTTATACGCCACTGTATTTACACTTACAGCAGCCTACCTAACTAAGAATTTATACTAACCATTTAATGAAATGAAAAAAACAACATTCTCTGAAGGTAGATAATAAAAATGGAATTGATCCAATACTGGAGTTAATCCTATACTATCGTCATACGAATACTTTTCTCTGAAAAAACTTAAATAATTATTAAAAATAAAAAGAAATTGGACCGAGCTTGCCTGTGATCTATAAGCATAATTATACTATAAAATATATAATTAAACATTTTTAGCCTGATTTAAAAAAAAAATTGTTACAAAATATGAATTTTTGATATATTCTAATCAAGGTTCAAGAACAACTACTTCTGTGGAATGTGGAACCTATTGCAAACAATACAATATCAAGCTTTTGAGTTACAAAAATTATATTATACATCGAAAAAAAAATAATCAAAACAAGTAGAAAATATTAATAAAAAAAATACCTAGACCTACATGTATATGGTAAAAAAAAAAAAATACAAACACAAACTTTTGTAACGAGACGTATTGTTCGCATCTAAACCATCTTTCGGACGTCCAACACAGCCGAAGCCGTAGCCACGTCCGCCGAATTAGAGCCCAGACATGTGTAATTTCCCGTGTGCTCGGTGGGTTTGAATTCCATGATTTGTACCCACGAGGTGACAGTAAAACGGTCTGGCCCACCTCTGGTCTGTATCACTATTAGTGTATCGTCTCCTATGCAATATAATAAACATATTATACAATATATTATAAATTTATAAACGAACATACACGTTGAGTTGAATATACTAGGCAATAACTATGTATTAAATTATAATACACGAGTATTATATCTAATTTTTTTTTTTTTTTTTTGAATATTATAGAAAAGTGGCGCCCAACTACTGCCAGCGAAAGTATTAAATAATAATTTAAAAATTTAAAAAATGAATTCATATTAATTATCTAAAAATGTATCTAACGTATTTTCATTTTTCGTATTTGTAAAGTAAAATATAAATTAAATTTCTTCATTACCTAATGATTTTGCTCGTCGGTATGACTTAATAAATGAACCATATATCTATACAAAATACAAATGCGTGAGGAATAAAATGAATAATTAAGATTATGCCTATATATAGGAGTATTTAAAAAAAAATATATCGTGGTTGTGACTTAATAATGTAATGAATTGCCGAACTGTTGAGATATGTAGATAATTAATTATCGTTTATCGTCCTAACCGTGTGCCATTTTTGTACCTACAACTATCAATCGATTAAACTTCAATGATATCGAGATAAGAATATTTATTAGAAGATTGATTGAAATTATTTCTATGGACGTAAAACAAGGACGGTCTTATAAAAAAAAATTAATATAATTAAAATCACAAAATATAAGACATTTTTTTTATATTGCTAAGTTTCGTATTAATTACTATTGATAGGTCTCACGAAATAAACACATAAAAAAATTATCACCAATATTTAACTAACAGATATTCCTAATAATAATTATTTATACTTAACGTTTAATTTATGAGATGACATATTTTATAACTGAGGTCATAATGTCTATGACAATTCAGCAGATTATTACAATATGAACTGCTTATACATCATACGAATATTATAGAAATGTCATACGGTCGACAATCTTATAAGTTATATGACGCAGGCCCATTTATTGTTTTTGCAGATTTTAACTATGGTAAAAAAATCTAACCTGGTAACCATTTTGTGATTCCGTATACATCCGTAAAACGCCAGCTAATGCTAGGCACAGGATATCCATTGACTTCACAATCAAACACCACGGTATGTCCGACGGAACCAGCCAAGTTCTTGGGCGTTGACTTAATGAAAGGCGCTGAAAACAAAAACAAAACAATTATATTATAGTATACCCTTTTCAGTATACAGGGTTAATACAATTTATCGGAAAGCTGCAAATGTAAGCAAACAATTTTTGTATGTCTAGTGTCTACACTGTACGCAGCATAGGTGTAAATTGGGGGGGGGGCTTGGGGGTGCTAACTTAGCCAAACTTATCCATAGCCCCCCCCCCAAAAACCTAGGACATACAATTTTAATATGCTATATTGCAATGGTCTGCTCGCCTTTAATATATTCAGCCCCCCCCCCAAGTCAAAAAGTTAAAATTGCGCTTATCCTCTACGGTCTTCCTAATATTAAAAATAATTAGTAATTATCGTTTTTTTTTTTAATCAAATAGTGATAACAAATATTGCTTAAAATACTTTTCATGAATGTTATATTTTGCATACAATGTACCTATATCAGTATATTTTTATGTTGTTTTTCAACTTGTGTACACGTTAAAGTTTAAGATAGTATTTGAATGATTTTAAAATATGTAGAGTAATAATGTGTAAAGTAAACTAGAATTTGCCATTAATTCAAAAAGAATTTGAAATGTCTTAGTCGTGACTCATAATAGTGACTAAACTAATGGTATACATTTTCCCTTTTGGCTATACCCTAAATATTGAAAAATATCCAAAAGTCCCCAGCAATCTTCGGATAGCTGAGTGGGCCAAACCGACACTTCAGCCTACCTACTCTGAAATTCCAAAAATCAGAATTTTTATAAAAGCATTACTAAACGATAATAGCCGGGGGGCTCCGGTATCATACTCGGTAAATGTATACCAAATTATAGCTAGGTATATTATTTTATTTTTGTTTTAGAAGTCAACGAGAGGAAAACCAAAAATGTGACATATTATAAATATTTAAGTAGTACAAATATATAAATCTGTTAACCACTATATTTGTTAAAAATAAAATAATAATAAATAATAGCCCTTAAAGAGAATTTATAATTGATGCCGTGAACAGTTCGGTTGAAAATCGATAAGTATGTATACCTATAATAGACAATAACACACACACACACACCTTACGTCATAATATAATATTCAAACGTGTTCGATTACAGATTTAGGTGAGTATATCAGTATATGTAACTTACTCGCATTACGTATATGATTATATTATATTTTAGTGCATTTAATCGTATACTCCGAGCGGAAAACTCCGAGACCGAGAGACGACGATATAATATTTGAAGAGAGCGGAATCGAATTAATACGTTTCCGAGGGATCGTTCAAACGTTAATATGTCTATAATATTAATATTATACACGCGAACACGCGTGTGTGTGTGTGTGTGTGTGTGTATGTGGGTGGGTGGGTGTGTGGGTACTTACCCGACTGACACGGTCCCCGGTATTGCATCCAAAGTAGCGTCGCGTTGTACCCGAGCTCCGCGGCCGCCTCGTTCAGCTGACACATGTTCGAGTACGTCCTATTGTCCGACCCGCACACCGGATCTGTCTCCTTGCACGCGCACCGGTACTGCACGCCGCCGCCGACATCTTCCTGTGTACATAATAATAATATTATATATTATTATCGTATAATATGGCTCCGATGGTTTTCATCGATTTTATAACGTCGCATTATATACGAGCATTATATTTTCATTGTAATATACGTTGGCTTCAACATGCACCGATGCACATCGGCTAGCTTGCATATTATATAATAATATGCAATGTATATAGGTAGTTATTAAAAGCTGTAGGTATTAGGTAGGTACCTACTAATATTTATTAAGTACCTACATATCTTAAATCTTAATAATTACCTGTAGTCTATTGTCTATACATTGCATATTATATGCAAGCCAGCCAATGTGCATCAGTGCATATTGTAGCCAATGTCGTTATAGGGTGCTTAGCAATAACAAATAAAATCGTTCAATTACCACATACCTATCTAATATAGTTTTTAAAATTTAATTTATGACATGAGTTTTCATAAATTTATACCAATTTTGTTTTGTCAACATTTCTATCTAACTAATAATTGGAAATCACAAATTCTAGGAGTGCCTATTTCCGAGTTTTATTTACTATATTCATCAGTCATCGATAAACTTTAAACGTTAAATGTTCATAATATTTTATAAAAAAAAATTATTTGTTCAATATTGAATATTTATTCATTGGCATTTCAGTTTTTTATTTTTGATACAATTAACAGGAGTGAACAATATTACTTAAAATATATAATATTTATTAATATAACTTACGTATCAGCTTTTAATATTATAATTTATAATATTGAATCATGTTGAAATAAATAAATTAATAAAAAAATAATATACTGTAACATATTATACGAATCATATATTACTATCGAGCGCGCCTGCAGCATAAAATCACACCAGTGCAGGGGCAAGATAAAAATTATTTACAGTCTAATATAAGTTTAAATTTATAACTTATAGGCTAGTTATATAATATTATAACGGTAGAGATATTAAAGTATACTTGTGGTTAAAAATTCCCAGGGGGCTATGGCCCCTTTCCCACCCCCCCTTGCGGGAGACCTTGATTACTAGCTATATTAGTTATTCTTATTGAAGCATGATAAATAAGCCGCATGCTTTAAATATTAATATAAGTATGTTATTACTATAAATAATTGCACTTTATAAGAATTTAGTAGGTAGCAGAAAACTACTACAAAATTCTTTCATACTATGGAAACTCCAAGACTTCGATTCTGGTTACTGTAGTGCAGTTTTGGTTTGAATCTTTTGATTGACCTTCTAACTTGGAAGTCTGGTAAGTTTTGAAATCAGACAACCTCGAAAACTATTTGTTGACTTTAAGTTTATGATGCCAATATAATAGGTATTAGTACAGTTTTATCATACAAATTAAATTCTCTTTTGCTTTATTTGATACAATTTATTTTATACAACGTGCCCACTCAAATTATTAGGAAATATGAACAGCGGAATATTTAAATTTTTGGGGTATTTATTAGTTCTTTACTGATGGTTTTTATTAAAAAATGATTAAATCATTTTAAAAAATAGGAAAAAAATACTGTAGAAATATGCATACTGTATAGTCTTGTAAAATATGTTCAATAGGTATAGCCGGTTTATAGGTGAATACTGAATAGTTAGGTAGTAAAATATAATTAAATCCTCGTGAGGTATACATGTGTATTACATAAAAAATAGGTACCTACACCACTGCAACTTAGGTATTTAATATGTATGTACAATATCAACTTTGGTCATAAGTCATAACGAACATAATAATATATTAGTTATGGACAACCTTTATAGTTTCTACCTAGGTACCTATATACTCTGTTCAGCGAGAGACAGCGCCGAGCACCTACGAAAACTGGTTTCCACACGCAACACTCTGCCATTAGGGAATCGGTTTCGATAGCATGGTGACGAGGATGGATGAGCAGAATCGGCGTGTTCTTTCGCTGAGCAAAGTATATTTCATGTAATTCTTCTTTAATTTTTCACAGGCCTTACACAGACATAGTGTGTCTACTGCCGAAGATGATCATAACAATACAAAAGAATATTATGTGTTTCCATATGCCTCTTCACCGTTCTCGTATTATTATTATTTATTATTATAGATACACAATCAAAGTGATAATTAAAAACAAAATATTCAATTCCGCCGAGGAGTGCGTGACGTGTTTACACTTTACAGCCTGTTAAAAAAAAACCCAATGCATAACATCTTGTAAATTTTGTATGCCGGTCGATCGATCGACTTGTATTCGTGACACATGGAATATAATATGTATATAATAATATATAGTAAGTGTAATACTATGATAATAATATGATATAGCGGCGACGAGAATGCATCACTGAGTTTAAAAGATTTCACGTGTTCGGGATAAAGCGATCGGCGTGGAACGAAACAAAAACATCAAAGAGAAATAACGTGCAGGGTCTACACCACAACTGAGTAAGTGAGTGGGTATATATATTATATTGAATATATTGTATATGTTATATTATGTTTATAATATCAACACGACGGCCTGTGTACAGGAGAGAAAAAAAACATAAATTCGTCGACACGTCTTGTTCTCGGCGTTTTATATACTAAAATAGAGTGTGTAATGCCTATAATGTGTATATTATTATCACATTATTGAATACCGTTTAATATTAGAGTAAGTATATCTTTATGAAGTACATATGCGTGAGCAGCCTTTTTTCGCAGGGTATGCCGGTATTTTTAAACATACCTAGCTCAATACAAAAAATAACTCCCCAAAAACTCTTAATAGGTACAAATAACTTATGATATAATGCAAAAAGAAATGAACATGCATTTTATTTAGCTTATTTATTGGTTTTAGATAAGCTTGTAGGTACTGTGATTTCATTCCAATAAAGTAACAGTATAAAAACCTACAGACATTTGATCATATTATAATAATATAATAATGACAAAAAATGATAATCTAATTAATCGAAATTCTTTTATTTTTGATAGTTGTAGGTAGTATGAAAATAAGCAATACCGCAGGGGCCTGAATGGTCTGGTTATAAAACATCTCCCCCTGCTCACGCCTATATGATTAAGTATATATAATATAATATTGTAAGAAACAGAGTGCTGGAGGTGCTGACGAGTTTATTCGTTATAATATAATATATTATGTTCATTAAAATAATACCACACTATCTCTCTTATTATGGGCTTTTTATTTTTTGACTTGAACAATTTTTTTTCAATTAATCGTCTTTGTATATGCTACATAATATTATTATATATTATATTTAATATATTTTTATGTATATTATATATATATTTATTGTGCGTCATACGCTTAGTTAGTAGAAAAATCTAAGTTCGTTTTTCAAAGGGTTAGTTTTTTTTTTATTATTATCTTTTTTAATGTCGTATATATATTATGCAGAACTGTATAATATTTATATTTTATATAATTCGATCATTGAAGCTTACATATTATGTAAGTCGGGACCTAATAAGTACATAGTATATTAGTGTATCCAATATGATTAAATTATTAATTAATAATATCCACCCGCGTATTATAATATTATGATGTTGTGTGTAGTGTGTAGTGTGTACAACATGGGAGGATATGCCTACAGGGAAACCAGGCATTTCCCGGAGGGCCCCCCCTTCGTATTTCGGCAATCTGGCCCTTTTTATGGGTAACGCAATGACTCATTAATTTTATACAATTACAATAGAAATTTGAAATATTATATTATAATCTTATATCTATAAATCTATTAGTTATTACTTATTCTATTCTGTGGTATTTTACAAAAGATTTCTTATCACCTACGAGACTACGACCAACAACTACAACGTCGATTACCGGTTGGCGGCGGCAAGTGGTCACGGGGGCGTATGTAATTTGCAGCAAAAAAATATTTATGTAGTTTGCATCACACAAAACTTAATAAAAGGGCATTAAGTAATCTGCGCCATCGTTTACCTACAAAAATTGTAATTTGCGTCATTGTTCACTTTGTTAAAATTGCAATTTGCACCACTTTAAAATAACTAAATAATCAAGTTCATTTTAATAGAAAATCAATAATAATTTTAAATAAATGTATATTACATTTACACTGTCATAAAACTCTATGTATATTAAACAAATTTATTTTTAATATTTTTGCGATTAATATCGGATTACTGTAAATAAGTATATTATTAGGATTACTGCAAGTTAATGATCATTTTTAACTGAGTTAAGTTAAGTTGGTAGAACACATTTTTAAATTTTTTAAGTTAATAACAGCTAACATAATTTTTTTTTAACTCAGACACTCAGTTAAGTTAAAAGTTATATGAACATTTTCAATTAACTTATTATTATTTTTTTTTTTTTAATATCTCTATAAATACCCATTAATATGGTTTAAAATAATAAAAATCATAAATTTTATTGAACACAGGAAATAAAATAATTAATTTCAATTAAAAAATAACTTATTATTTATGTTGAAAATATTTAATAATATTATGTTCTTAATAATTTTACATTTGTGATTAAATTTTAAAAAGTTAAAATTAACTTAACTTTAATTTTTAACTCGTTCATGCCCAGGCTTGGATATATTGCTGTTCAATATTGTTCGATATTTTGACAGTTAATAATTTTTATTAGATTAGACGTTATCGATCTCTTCTCTATTTATTATTAGTAGAACATAACAACAGGGGGACGAGGTGGCCGAGCGGTTTAAGGTTGGGTTTGATTCTCGGCCACTGGGCGGTATTTTTTTCATTTGGGGGCCCTTTTTAATAATTTCCCGGTAGGTCAAAAATGGCCTATCAGCCCACGAGTGTACAATAACTGTCTATACAGTTCACACCAAATGTTAATAAAATCAAAAACGTACAAACTACAAAGGGTCTCTCCGGTTACAGAAAATTGGCTATAGCCAATACTATTCAATATTACACATTAAATTTAAAATCAATATTATGTCACAAAAAATGACAGTCAAATATATCTAGAACCATTTCATGAAAAATATCTTGCTATCT